CAAGAGGCGTTGCCCAGGACAACCATCAACTTAATTTGCATTTACTTGTATTCTGCTACTAAATTGATCGCTTGTTTAATTTTTAATTAACGTTTGCATTTGAAGTCCAAGTATTTTGTTAAATCAAAAATGTTTTCCTTGTCGATACGATCGCGTGGCCGCAAACGGCTCGTTATTTCGACCTCAAACGAATAAGATACGGGCGTTTTAGTTTATAGTACGCAAAAGTTACTTTAACGATACGATCACGCTTTGACGTCACTTATCTCACTCGTTTGGACTCGGAATTGGGATCTGTAAAATTCTATGCGATCGTGGTTGATTTGCCCAACTTTTTTGTGTTGAGGAAAGATACTGATTCTTGATAAAATGATCCAGAAAATTCATTCGACAACTTAAGTGCGTAGGATAGTTTTTAGACAATGCAAACTCAAATAACAACATCTAAAAATCACAAAAACAACATTGATAGTTCACTACAATGATAAAACGATAAATTCACTAATTTGCTTCGTTTTGGCCCCCATCGCCACCTCTTCCTCCTCGTCCTCCACGACGTCCTCGACCCCTTCTTCCCCCCTCCGCCGCTGCTTCTTGGCGGGCTCGCTCAACGGCTGGTCGCGGATTTCTCTTGACCCGAGCCCCAACTGGGGTTACATATGGTGGTGGTGGTGGCTGAGTTGGAGCGGTAGCTTGACGAATGATCGGAGTTTGTTGTTGCGGGGTCTGAAACATCGAACTTTGTTGCTGATGTTGGAATTGAGAGAACCCATGAGAGAAAGTGTCCCATTCCTGAGATCCCCCACGACTCGATGAGCCTCCACCGGCATCCGCTGTAGGTGCCCACTGGTACTCGAACGGTTCGGGGAGCTCGGTTTCTTGAGTGGTACGCACCTCTTCGAACGTAGGCAGAGGCCTGCGTTTGCTCCTTCGTGGAGGCTCAACCGGGGGCACAATGGCTGCATCATCACGGAATGAGGGTCGTGCCGGGGCAGGAACGGGAGGATAGGCCACGACATCCCTCCTTTGCTCTCTGGTGCAACTCAGGAGGTTATTCATAAGTCGGGTCAACCAAGTAGTCTTCCGCTCATCCATGGTTGGAGCACTTTCGAGAGTGTACTTCGCGTGTTCCAAACCATCAACCTAAGGAAAGCACAAAATATATCAAATTAACTAAACATTAAAATAAAAATATTTAAGAATGAGGGAGATTAGGATGACTTACCACCGAACCCATCACAGCACCTTGCTTTGACACCCATCTCAAGGTGAACTTCCGATACCACTGCATGTACCCATCGTGGTAGCCCATCGGTCTTGTCTCCGGCATCCCTTGCACCACCCATTGGGATCGATTCTCCTAGATGTTGATGTAGAATCCATGCTTTAGCGTCCAGTTTGCATTGTTTCGGAGGTCCATAGCATGTAGCTCCTTGAAACCTGCTGGCGGGTCTTGTGGAATTGGTTGCTCCATTCGATACTGCCTCAGGGATCGATCGGGTAGGTGCCATTCCACAATGTGCCAACAGATCAATGGCACCTTGCACAACCACGTCTCGTGATCCAGAGGGTGCCTAAGATGATGCAGCTCAACCACTTCACGTGGATATGGATCCCATATAACCTAAAATCACAAAAATTCGGAATTAACGACCATTTACTTTGATAAAATTGATCTTGTTCAAATATGGACAAAACATGATTACCTGATTCCACCATGGTTTATCTAACTCAGAACGATAAAACAGTAACGAATGCTCAGGCTGATGGTCATTCGTATTTGCTCCTATCCACCTTGTAAGTAAAAGTACGGAATCAATTTAAATTCAATTTAAATCTAGTTAAGCATGTAATAAAAATTAAATTGGGCTAAGTACGGAAGTGCAGACAATTTAAATCTAGTTGAAGCATGTAATCAAAAGTTAAATTGGGCTAAGTACGGAATAAATTCAAATTAAATCTAGCTCAAGCATGTAATAAAAAGTTAAATTGGGCTAAGTACGGAATAAATTCAATTTAAATCTAGCTCAAGCATGTAATAAAAAGTTAAATTGGGCTAAGTACGGAATATTCTCAATTTAAATCTAGCTCAAGCATGTAATAAAATTTAAATTGGGCTAAGTACGGAATAAACTTACTTGACACCGTAGGGGAGATTTTGCAGAAGGTTGAGCTCATCATCGTTTCTCCGGTATGGACGTGGGTCGAGAGGTGCGAACATTGGAAGATGCTCCCATACCCACAGTTGAACGATGAACATCGCAGCACCAGCTTGCTTTGCCCCAACCCTCGAGCAAGTACACAGCTCCCGGTATACGCCCGCTAGCACGGCCGATCCCCAACTCTTCTCTCCAATTGCATCCCAGTCACCGGTGAACAATGGCAACCATATGCCTTGAATCCACCGGTTGGACTTGTCGGGGAACAAAAATCCACCCACCAAACCGATGAGGTAGATGCGGGCGTAGCGCTCGACTTGTTCTTCCGGTGTCTCGTCATTGATTTCCACCTCTTGCTGGATGTGAGAGACCAGCCACGGGACCGACACTTGCCCCGCATTCAACGGTGGATGCCCCCGTCCTTGATTTGGTGTGGTGGTCGGCATGTCGAAGCCCAAACGATCACGGATGAGCGGCCCCCAACCTCCTTCGGGTTTGGTCGTGTTCCCAATGATGGCATCTCCAGATATAGGAAGCCCGGTGAGGATCGCCACGTCTTTGAGGGTGATCGTCATTTCCCCCTCCGCAAGGTGGAATGTATGGGTTTCGGGACGCCATCGTTCCGCCATTGCCGTAAGCAGCTCGTTGTCGATCTCGATCCGCAAGAAATGGCGCAACATTCCCAAACCGGTCCTCGCTATATAGGGCTCCAACCTTGGATGCCAAGCGGGCAAGTTATTGGTCCCTTTATGAACCACGGGAACAAGAGATTCCTAAAAAAAATAGGAAAAACATCAATTAATTAGATTAAATAAAGCAAAATAAAACATTAGAAAATAATAAAATAAAGCAAGTCAGTTCATCAAATTACCGGATTGTTATCCCAAATGGCACGGGAGCGATGCATTTGCTGATCGGTTAATAGACTCGCATCCCTTGGGCCATAATGGATATACAATCGAGGATCGTATATCTCGACACCCATCTATAAAAAAGTAATATAATCAGAGATTGTTTTGATAAAAAATAAATCAAATTGTTTCGATTAAAAAAAATCACAAACCAAAAACCTACACGAAGAGCCTCTTCGTCCATTATTGGCGGAAGCCGGACAGAGGTTCGACGGGTTTAGCTTTGTAAGGGACGGGAACTTAGCGGGACGGGGGCTTTAGGGTCAAACTCTAGTAATTCTTTCTGATGTGGAAGATCGGACTTAGCCGCAACCACAGAGCATACTTAGAACGAGACTAGAGCGGATAAATTGAGGGAGAAAGAAGGTAAATGTTTGTGGGGTGAGTTGAAAGTGAAAGGGGGAGGGGGTATTTATAGTTTGGGGGAAGGGGGGAGCAGATGCTGCGCAGTTAATTCACCATGCATTCACCGCGTTCATCAAACGCGGTGAACTCACCGTTTTCACCAAACGCGGTGAATGCATGGTGACGTGGCGTGCTGCGAGGCGTCGGATCGTGGGAAGAAAACCACGATCCGCGTCTCACCGCATCTAACGGCCACGGTGAAAGCACAATGGCGCGGATTGCTGACGCAAACAAACACGGGTTATTCACCGTGTTTGTCTAACGCGGTGAATACCCCGTGCTGTCCACGTCAGCACTTCACCGCGTCCAACAAAAACGGTGAGTGCTTCACCGTTTTAAATTAAAACGGTGAAGGCATCACCGTGTTTAATTAAAACGGTGAGTACTTCACCGTTTTAGACAAAAACGGTGAACCCTTCACCGTTTTAATTTAAAACGGTGAAGCACTCACCGTGTTTGGCAAACGCGGTGATGACCTTCACCGTTTTAGACAAAAACGGTGATGCTCAAACATGTGTAGTTTTGGAATTTTTTTTATAACTACTGTATTTTGGGAATTTTTTTTAAAAACTAGTGTACTTTGGGATTTTTTTCCATTTGTTGTAGTGACTGTGCAGCGCAAATCCCTCGGGGTTTACGTTTTCAAAATCTCGATTCAACTCACATCCACATAATTATGATATGTTTGAAACTAAACTTATCATAACAATTTACTAAAAATCATTTTCTCAATTCATTAATCAATCTTCCTCAAAATCAGGATTCGTCGAATTCAAACTATCAATCTCATTTATTCCATTCATACTCAACTCAAGTTAATGATCATACTTGACCAATGTAAACTATCATGCATGCTCAAAACTCGAATCATAAAATTGTTGATTTAAAAACACATCATCAACAAAAAATCATGCTACACGAAAATCTCATTAATTCCTAGATTTATTTCTAGGTCATCAACCCACATTCATCTTTAACACAATTCATCATGAAAATATTTTCATTAATCAAGTCATTTATCAACATAAAATCGTAAACTTACCTCAACTTATGAATCCATCATATCATTCCTTCATTCAAAGTCACCTCATCATTTAAACATGAAACATATAAATCATTCATCCACAATCAAATCACCAATTTGGTATCAACTATATTAATCTTTCAATCAATCATCAATCAGATATAACTTCAGATTTCTTCCATGCGTATCTCACATCATCCATGTATACTTTGATGTATTGCATGATCTCAGTATAATCATCATATCATCTCAATAATATAATATTTCATTCTCTTCAATCAATCTTGATATAACTATCAGGTGCTCAATTTATTAATACCTCATTCACTCATCATAATCATTTATCACGTCAACATTTCATCACATTAATAGTAATACAAATCGATCATGATAATATCTCATCCACATCATCATTAACCAAAACATTCGTCATATCAACATTGTCACAAAACATCTTAGTAACATTCATATTTATACAAACCGATATTCTAATTACGTCATACTTAGACACATCAATCATATCAATGTCAATCAATCTATATCATCATATCATAATCATACTTATCGATAATCAATCTATATTTCATTCATCAAATCATTAACCATACGAACCATATACTCTAAATACATCAGTTTACCCATATCGTCCATTAACTAATTATATCAAAATATCAATTAAGCATAGTATGATTAAAATCTCGTCTTCATCTATTAATAACTTGAATCATTCTAAAAAGGACCATACCCAATATAGGGAGTTCTCTAACCTGTTTCAACTCATGTCTTGTGTTGTGAGGTACGAGTCTCTTCTACACGAGGGAGAGAATCGTAGGAGTGCCTCACAGGGATCATACTTTCCAAACTTAGACTATACCATCAATCATGTTGGCCACGATGCCACTGAGGTTGAGGTAGACTTGGCTGAGATAATTCCAGGGAAGCCATACGTATGTGCTTCCTTGACTAAAGTTGAAGATGGGCCGCAAGGGGGAAGACCCAATCGTGCACTCATTCAGCCGAGGAAGTACTCCTTTGATGTCTCCAAGGCAGACTTGATTTTTGATCAACTTTACACGGATGGTCAAATCAAGTTGACAAGGGGGCATGTCCTTCCCCCATCGGAGAAGTTAAAAGGGAAGGAATATTGTAAGTGGCATAACAGCATATCGTATGCAACTAATGCTTGTGTGGATTTTCATAACGTCTTACAGGATGCCATTAAAAATGGGCGCATCAAATTCTTTGAGGAAAAGAAGGATGTCATGTTGGTGGACACTGATCCACTCCCAAATATGCTCGGTGTCAACATGGTCAACATAGACTTCTCCAAGATTGAGTTGCCATGCTTCAAATTGATGTTGGACACAACTCCGAATCATAAGGGGAACTCTAATGTGGTGTCCAACAAGCCACATAACCTAAAGTGATACTTGCTTGTGACAAGTATGCTAACATGGCTAAGTCTGTAAAGGGAGGCAGGCCACCCACCACAACAAGTGGATGTGGGGGCATATCCAACAAGTCACTACGTGAGAAATCCACAAAAAATTATTGTAGATTTGAAAATTTGGCTAAGTACGGAAAATGCATGTCCAAAAACCAACATGAAGCACAAGCCACACATGCATGTGATAAGCATACTAGTTTGGATAAGTCTGGACATGGGGGCATGTCACCCATCATGAAGTATGAAGTAGGGGGCATGTCTTGGAAGACACAATAGCTCCAAGCCACCCATGGCTTTTATAAGTGTATTAACAATGGTTAAGTCTGGACAAGAGGGCATGCAACCAATCACAAACAGTGGACATGAGGTCAAGTCTAACAAGAAAAGACGTGGGAAAGTGATAATTGTTGAAAATATATTGATTTTGTGTTCTTAATATGATTATTTCATGATATGTTTAAGACGTATAATGCTTGTTTTTATGGTCCAACTAAGCCCGGAATGGTTATATAACTATTACCGTCGAGTGCCAAATATTCTATATGTTTTTAGGTAAATGAGATGAGAAATTGACATCGCTGAATGGATTGACTCTATGGGGACGGATGGGTTTGTTTCTCCCATTAACTGGACAGGTCATGGCGGCACTTTTCTTTCCTGGTTCGGGGTGGAATTAATTGGCCTGGAGGATTTTGTGGACCGGGTTCTTGGGCGGAATAATTAGAGAATTTTTGGGCCCAAAATTTTTGTCCAAGAAAAGGAATAATTGAAAGGCCAGGAAGCGGCCAGGGACGGGACTAATATATTTTGGTCTAGGACAGAAATTCAGGGGGCGAAAAAAGAGAAGAGGGCGAGGGTTTCTTTTTGGACAAAAAGGAGCAGGGCGCAGCGAAGGCTGGGGAGAGCAGCAGCGCGGAGTTCGAAGCGAGCTATCGCGCGGAGCAAGCAACAGGCGATTGAAGCGAGAAGGAATTGGTGTCGGGATTACATTCGAGAATCTCAGTATTTTCCTTTAGCTTTAATTGGTACGATGATGATTATAAACATGATTGTGTGCTTTATTTTCGTCATGAACTAAACCCCAATTTCTGGGGGAAACACCATAGGATGTAGCTATTTCTGGATTTGATGGATTAATTCGTATTTCTTTTCTTCCAATCTCTATTGCATGAAATTAATTAATGCTTTGTGTTGACTGGCCACCAATACATTGATTTGTTGTTAATTAGGTTATTAGCGACAGTGAAACCCTAATAACTGAACATTTTTCATGTGACATAGTAACTTATCGAAGCGACAGTGGATTAAATAAGATGTTATGCGGTCTTAAATAGGATATCGATCTTCAGGCTAAATAATTAAGTCATTGAGCTACGACAGTAGGATTTGATTTAATTGTTTAGTACGTAGTAATTCCCGACAGGGATAGCTAGCACATTAGTGATATCCTGGTTGTAGTGAATTGGATTAAACTGATTGGAATATGTGAATTAATTTTGATATGATAGGTAGTGAGTTCCGGTGTTTCTCCCAGAGCTTTCTCCCATTGATTTTCTCCCGACAACTTTAATTTGCTTGTTTTCTTTAATTATTAGCTAGTAGTTTCATCACTAAAACATTTTTCACCTATAGTTTCCTCTATAAAATTGATAGAATATAAGGTTGTACCAGTCCCTGAGAGACGATACCCGGACTTTCCGGTTTTACTAGAAGATAGGTATTGAAGCATTACGCTTTTGCCCTATCAGAAAGCCAAAAAGAGTTCTCGTAGTCTTGAAAATTTAGCTAAGTATGGGCAAGGAGGCATGTCACCTACCATGAATAATGGAGTAGGGGGCATGTCCAAGAAGTTAAAAGAAGTCCAAGCCACACATGCTTATGACAAGCATGAAAATGTGGCTTAGTACAGACAGGGGGACAAGTCAATGTCCTTGTCCATGAGTGGTAAGTACAGGCCATACACCATGAAAGGTGGACAAAGTGACATGTATAAGAAGTCACAATACACACTAATCAAACATGGTCTCTCAAAGAACCAAGAGTGGTTGTGTGCTAAGTGTAGAGGCCAACAAGGTTCAGATGTTGAAAGTCAAATGGACCACGTGAGTGGTAGCCGACTTGTCAAGTCTAGACATCGTCTCCGAAGCATGTTTCAACCATGAGGAATCCAAGGCAGAGGAAAGCTCATGGTCATCTTGACATGTCAAGTGATGTGGCTAAGGCATATGAGCATGGGATCCCATGCAAGTCCACCAAAGTTAGACATGTCGACTGTGTACCACCCACTAGTAAGTTAGATAGTTCAAACTTAATGTATGGAGAGTCATGTCTCGTGGAGCAAAATAGTCATTTAGTATATGGATGGCTTGCCTGGTTTAATCCATGGACTGGGCAGTGGGTGTACACCTTTGGCGCATTGGTTGTTGCCAAAGGCTATGGAGAGCAGTGACGTCTGTCACTTCTTGTCATATAAAATAAATATGTATATATATTAATAATAAAAGATAGTAGCCAGCAATGGCTTAAAAAACGATGTAAGAGATGTTAGACTTCGATGTGAAAATTTCGCCACCGAGTCATTATGATGGCTTGGCATTGCGAGTCATATGTCATATCATGCCATGCCATGTCGTTTTGTTCCAAGTAGCCAAAAGGTTGAGTGATGGACACTACCAAGGGGGCATGGTGCTTAATAGGCTAAAGATGGCTAGTATGCCGCACCAAATTAATTTAGACATATAAAAAGAGAGGTTTGATGTGGATAGCATGGTTAATTAGCGAGGTGATCATGTTAGTTGGCCGTAATATTTTGAACTTAAGAACTTTAAATGTTATGGCCACCCACCTAGTCTTTTAACGCAGGTGAGATGGCCTCCAAGGAGGAAAAAATTCTAAGTTCTTACTTAGACCACCACAAGGTTGTATGTAAAGGACATGGGGTTCTTGGTTAAGCTCCAAGCCATGAGAACGAGTGCTTTGATGGCCTTCTATGCGAGGCCAAATTTGACTAAGTATGCTACGCGGCCTCGTGGGGAAAGGTGAAGGGTACAACCTAGTTTGGACAATATGGATATCCGGAAGAAGAAAAATAAAAGGAGAGGGGATCCTTTTTTCAGTGTCGTAGCCAGATTGAATGTGGAATCTCAACTGGTGGGATTATTTTGATTTCCTTAGTTGAGTTGGATGTGAATTAAGGATGGAGAATTTGTGCGTTGCTGTCCTAGGGCAAGTAAGTGGCGCGAGGGTGATAATAGGAAAAGGGAATTGAAGTCCTTTTTTACTTATGGCTCCACGGGTGAGTGCTCGTGTTGGGTATTGGTTGTATAGGTGTCAAAACAGAACCCGATCTTACTAAGCCGCCCGATCAACTCGACCCGCAACCCAATTGACCCGCAACTCGATTGACCCACAGCCTGATTGATCCAAACCCGACCGAATCAACCCGAATTTCACCTAATCCACTTGAATAATGATTATATTATATAATATTTAGTTTTTCAAAATAAAATTTTTCATTCTAAACTCAGGTAAAATTATTTCTTCATTTCGTATAGAAAATTTAAAAATATGAAACTAACTTTATATTATGTATTTTAAGAAAATGACAAAATTTGAAACATGAAAGTCACTTGCACACTAAGTTCTTTAACAAAATTAAAAAATTAAATATAAAATATAAAATCAACACGATGTGAATATTAATAATGAATAATTAACAATTGAGATCATGGACAATATTAATATAATATATAAATTAAATTTTTGGTTAATTTAACTATTCAATAAAGTTATCAATTAAATATAAATAAAGTAAAGCAATGTATTTGATAATGTGATGCTTTTAAAAGAATAGGAAAGTTTTGGTATATTCAACTTTTTGGAAGAGAAAAAAGAGGGAAATTATGTTCTTTGAATTTTTTAGAAAAGAAGAGGGGGAAATTTTGGTGGTTTTGATTGTGGGAAGTGAAGAAGTGGGAAAGGTTGGTTCTTTTGATTATGAAAAAGAAAGAAGGAAAATTTTGAGTTTTCAACTATTGGTGAAAGGAAGGAAGGAAGAGGTAAATTTGGTTCTTCAATGGAAGAGAAAGAGGAGGAAAATTTTAAATTTGTTTCTTTCAATTTTATAAAAGAGAAAAATGAGCGAAAATTGAGTGTTTCTAATTCATGGAAGGATAAAAGGAGGAGAATTTTAGTATTTTAATTTTTTTTTTGTGAAAAAGAAAGAAGAAAAAAAATTTGATACCACAATCATTTATTTTAAAAAATTCACTTAATTTGTCTACTTGTTTTCTATACTTCTACATTTATTGCAATTTCAACACTACATGATCGTTATTTTACAACACTTAGTAAAATATTCGCACATTTAAGTTGTGTTCAAGTTGAACTTTCATTTAAAAATGGCTGTTAAACTTGGCCTGTTAAGTCTTACGATTGCAATAACTCAGTTGAGTTGCGGGTTTGAAAATTTTGGTTAATCGGGTTGCGGGTCACTTTGGAATGAAAAATGAGAGGGAGGTTTGGATGGGAACTTTGGAATGGAAAATTTATGGGCGTGTGAATATGAGCCAACAATAATACTAAACTTGATAAGTAATTTTTGACGGTTCATTGTTTAGGGTAAAGTATATGGTTAGGGTATAGGGTATAAAGTACAGATGGTTTAGCGTTTATATGGTTAGGGTATAAGATATTGATGGTTTTGACGGTCCTAAGTTTTTTTATTAACATATGTTCACTTGAAGTCATTTAAAATATTTAACGACAGGAGATCCCTTTTTAATTTATGTTTATGGTACGTGGTTAGGGTACATGGTATATGGTGTAGAGTATAAGATATATGGTTAGGGTATAGCAAATATCACTTTTTTATCTATGTTTTGAAAATCAAAGTATGAATTTCACTTTAAATTAAGGGCTAATACCACTGGGAAACCCGAATTATGAGGTGTCATTGACGTGGCATCTACGTGGCAGCCACATCAACAAAAGTCAATGTTAATGTTGACTTCCGTTTGGTCAACCGTTATCTATAACGGTCAACGAAATCGTCAGGACATAAATGATACACAACTATCATACGTTGTGACACAATTGTCATATTGAATACTTTAG